TTCACATACAAATTACAATGCATATTTACGACCTACAGACTGGAGTCTCACACTGACATGCAACAGCAGGTGGGCCAGGGCATATAGAAACACACTAGTCTGTAAAGTGAAGGGGAATGTCCAGATTCAAAACTCTTCTTTAGGGCTACATTATTTGGAGGATAAATCATGAAAGAAGGTATGTTTATAATTTTGGCTGAGTAAAAATATTATCTGTCTCCGACTGAAGTCAATGAAAATGTTGTCATTGACTTCATAGGATCAGACAGGCTGCACAGCATCAAATATTACTCTGTCAATAATCTGGTATATCTCTTATTCCTAGTATGTTTGGATGGCATTTATAATTTGTTTTTCACTTAACAACCTGTGTTTTTTTTTAAGTCTGGACAAAAACATGATTTATACCACAAGCCAATAATTAGCTCTCTGCCAATTCAATTGCACATCCTTCTTGTGATTAGGTGGCAAGGTACTGATGCTTGAAGTACTCTGGTCATGTTTCTGCAATTTAGATGGGCCAGGGGAAAGTGAGAAGTGTATTTTAGAATTTATGTTCATGAGCATTTTGAATCTGTAGACAGATTCAGGGAAACCCAGGTCCTGATGCAAAAGGGTTAACGAAGATAGGGAAATTGCTTATTAAATTTGCCACATAACTATTCAGTGGGTTAACTAGACAGCCACCTACTCTATGGCAGTTAAAATTTTGTATATTTATTCTCGTAAAATTATCTTGTTTGTATTTATCATGATACAAATGATCTGAAGCATACTGTATATAGCCTTCTGTCAGCTGGCACTCAACCTATACAATCAGTGAACCCCTGAGTACATTATATATTGACATCATCATATTTCATTTACTTTGAGAAAAGTAGGGCTAATATATCATATGTATTATATTCTTTGGCATATTGAAAATGCTATAAGTGCTTTCATGAATAGTGACTGCCAACTGCATTCACCAATTTTGATTTAATGACACTTAACCATATATAGGGTTAAATTTTAGAAACAAGTTAAATTATTTTATTTGTTCAGATTTTACTTATTGTTCCTTTTTTCCCCCTTTTAGTTCTACTTTGGTTCATTAGATGCAGTAATATCTCCCTTGTCTGTGACAATTTCCATTAATATCTCAAAGGCAGCTATTAAGTATCATTACAAGAAAAGATTATAGAAGGATACTGCATACAATAACAGTGAAGATAAAGACAATAGTCACATTTTCATTTGTTTCTTTGTTCTTAAGATGCAAATCAAACTTCAAGCTCTTTCGAGTCTTCTTTGCTGTTCAACATTTGCTGTTTGGGGTACAAATATACTTCATTTTACCCTATATCCACTCTAGCACAACACTACTCTGCTGTCACTGATCTCTGGGTACCTCTCCCAAAGTGCCAGGTACTCCTCCAAGAAGCAGGGGCGCCTGAGAGGTTTTAAAGGCAGAGGGAAATTGTGGAAGACAAAGTCAAACTCCCATATTTTCCAGGGAGGTTGCCCTGAGATACTTGGCGGCAGTGCCATTTCCTCCTAATCTTTCTTGCATGAAATGGCGGCCAGGATGAACATTTAGCTCTCACTCCATGTGCAGTAAAAAGAGGATCCATGTTAGCTTTTGAAAACCAGCCATGAGGCGGTTTAGTGGTATGCTATCACAGGTTGGTTGATGTGGAAGGCCCTGAACTAGGGTTTGCACGATAACTGAGTGCTCTGTACCAGAGCAAAGGCAGCTGCAAGAAATGGAGCCCCGCAGGGGGCTGAGGACAGGGCCAAGAGGAGCCTACAAAGGGTGAAAGAACATTTTGTTTGTTGGGACTTTTTAGTTGGACTTTTTGTTAACCTTTTGGATTATTCTGTGTGTGCATTCAAGTGTGCTGAAATCTATCAATTAGCTCGATTTTTATTAAAACTGTCCTAAGTGAATAACTGATTTTTCAATTTGGCGGCTGAACTGAAAAATTTGCCCCCCCCCCCCCCCCAAATAAATAAATTCAGGGCTGAACCAAACTGAAAATTGTTGGTTTTTCTCACTGAAATGAAAAAAACAGAAAAAAAAATGTCTCAGGTCAAACAAAACGTGTAGCTCAAAGTGAAACTCTTTTTTTTTTTTTTTTTTTTTAGTTTTTCATTTCATTTTGTTATGTTTTAGGGTGGTTTTCTTCCCCTTTTTCATGGTTTTAACATAGCTAGTTAAATTTCTAAAGGACACGTTGGTCTGCGATAGGAGGTCAAAATGTTTTGTTTAGAAAATGTCAAAATGAACTGGGTTTCTTTTTGTTTTTATTTGACCAAAACTATTCGCCGAATTCAACAGCCATTTGCAAATCGTTTAGGTTGTCCGAAAAATGCATTTTTCAGCTAATATACTCTACTGGTAAAAAAATTGTCCAGCTCTAGTACCAAGAAGAATTATTATTTACCGGGCACTGTTGTCATTAGGCACCTGGTAGAAATATCAGGCCCCAAGGTCATGGACCTTATTTTTTACTGTGCCCACTAAGAAGGCACGACACAGAGGCAATGATGGCTTATTATCACCATGGCACGCTCAGATTCCAGGCTGATCAACAGAACTAAGAGGCCAGTAGCATAAGAGAACAGCCTCTAGAGAGATCCTAACTCACAAGATTCTTGCACAGCTCCCTATGGGCTACTCCTGCCCCTGACTGCCTCCCTAACCCCCATCCCCAGCATGTTCTTATACCAGGGATGTGGAAGTGGGTGCGATAGGGCTGCATAGCTTGGTCCAAATCTGCCTGTGTACTAGGGGAAATTCCCCAGGAGTTATTCAGTCCCTTACATCTCATAGCAGAGTAAAGGGTCCATAGAATCTGGCTCTATAGCATTAAAAATGTAGTTTAAATTATAGTTTGTTTCTGATGGTTTTTTTTAAGGGAGCGAGTGTGGGAGCTGTGTTGTTTGTTTGTTTTCATATTCTAATTCAGTTGTATTTCTGTGTGTGAAAGTACAGCCTACTTGCTAATTCCAGTCAGACACATGGATAGGATATGAACTATCTTCAACAGTAATTTCCTGAATCTAAATCTCTAATTAACTGAAACAGAATAAATAAATGTGGTTAGATCAGTGGTTCCCAAACTGGGGTTCACAGACCCCTGGGGGTCGCAGAATGTTACGGGGGGGTTGCCAGAAAAATTTCACTAATGGCGGCCAGAGGACCCCGGGCATTGGACGCAGCAGGTGGGACCCAGTTGCAGGGCAGACAGCCCCAGGGAGAGCGGGGCAGGGCAGTTGGGGCTGGCAGCCCGAGCCCTGCCCCCCTTCAGTGCGGGAGCTGGCAGCTCGAGCCCCAGGGAGAGCGGCGCTGGGCAGCTGGGGCTGGCAGCCTGAGCCCTGGCGGTCAGCGGGACCTGCAGCCCAAGCTCAGTGGAGCTCAGTTGACCGGGGCTGTTAACGGGGTCCAGCAGCAGGAGCCGCACGGAGTGCGGAGGAAATTTAAACTTAAATCCCTGGAAATATTCATTTTTAGGAGGGGGTTCACGAGATTTCACAATTTAGTGAAAGGGGTTTGTGGGCTGTTAAAGTTTGGGAACCACTTGGGTTAGATGTAACCCATGTGCCTAATAGGGAGATATCTCCGAGACCCACTTGGGGGAGATAGGAATGAGTTGTGTCTGGGTAATTCTCTTTTTTTTAACTTTGGGTTTGTTTACTAGAGCAGTAAATACATTAAACTATTTGTTTGTTCCACTGAATTACACAAAAGGTATATGTAACTATCCAACAACTATCCATCCCTTTGCAGTTAGTTTCAATGTACTGAAACAGCATTAGTTGCTCTTTCACTTTTATTAAGTTCACTTACATTGACCAAATAAGTGTCACTGAAGTAGAGAGTATATAAAATAAGAGTGATTCAATCGCCTTCCGGTGCTCCATAAAAACCAAGTACTTAATTCAGCTATAAAACTTTAGAAATGACTTTTGCTAGGCAGATTTAGCACTCCACATCCAGAAGCTTCTGGAATTGGGTGTCGTAGTTTTGAGTCTGCTCCAATAGGTTCCCTATTGCTGGGGTCAGACTCCATGAGGGCAAGTAAGCAGTCAGAGCAGCTGCTTTACAAAGGGCTGTGTGTCCTATGTGAGTTGGGAGAAGCTGAGACCAGGAGCAGAAAGCAGGCTGTTGTCCCTAACTCAGAAGCATTTTGCAGCAGGGTTTTCTTTAAATATATACACTTAACTGCCTGGTTGGTTAATCAGTCAGCTGACTGGCTAGCAGTGATTTCAGCAGAGGAAGAGTCTGCATGGATTCCAACTGAAGCAAGTGGAGGGAAGAGGTTGTTTTAGACTCAGCAAACTGTATAGATTTGGTGATCAAAGACACTAACTCAGACTTAGGTGAACTAAACCTAAGCTTTTGGGAACTCTCAGTTTCTTCTCACTCTGTTTCTGTGGGGACTGAACTGTTCAGATTTTAATTTTGTTTTCTTCATTTATGCTTATGTACCACTGTGAAGATAATGTCTGCGGATTAGAAAATAGCCACGTTATGCTGAAAAAAATAGATTATTTGTTTCTTTGTCATAATTTTTTATAAAGTTATTTAATTAAATTAATTTCTTTAGTTCCTTTTGAGACTTGAATGTGGGGAGGCCGACCCTGTGCAATCCTTGCTGAAAATCCTTAGAGACTGAACTCTGGGTCTCCAGCTGCTTTTCTATGGGAACTGGGGTTTTTAGGCACTGGAGAAGGGCAATGAAGTGAACTCTAGCCCACCCAAAGGTTACATAGACACCCAGCAAGGATTCCTCCTTCAAGCACTTTAACACCATCAAGTCTAGGTGGGCACATACGACAAGATTTTCAAAAATGGCTGCCTGAAGTTAAGCTTCTGAGGCCTTATTTAATGACCTGAGTTGCCTGATTTTCTAAGTGCTGAACACGCATCAGTTCACGCTGACAAGGAGGTTTCAAGCATGCAGAAGGAACATGCCTGCCGCCTCATCCACTTATACACTATGGCTTACCTCCTGTGGCCGGTCAGCTAATCTAGCCAGTGTGTAGGGAGGGTAGAGCTGACTTCTTCTGTTCACTTTGGTACCTTGTATACCCGCAGGGAATGGAGCAGGCCTGTAGTCCTTAAAACCCTGGAGCTGCAGTTTTGCCTAACCTTTATGGAGGCCACAATAAGTTCTGGCAGGCTCCTTTCACTCTCTTCTCCAGTCTCATCCTATGACTCCTACGAACACACATAGCCACAAGCTGTTATCCATTTCCTAGTGAGCTGGCCCACTTCTTTATAAAAGCACAGCAGGAGGGACTGAAGTAAACACTGGAACACACAGTGCCACCTACTAACATTATTACTAACTCATGACTTAACAGCAGGGGGCTGCTAATCTCTTCTTCACGACTGAGTAGATATGTGAGACTTAATTTCTGCTTTTTGCAGTGGCCCTCCACTCTGTACCAAAGATTTGGGAGGCAGCTCACTTCATAATGATCTAAAACAAAGCAAGTTCACAGCCAGTGGGCTTGTGGGTACTTGTACATTAGCATGGCACAGACACAGAATCAAACCCATTGCCTCAATATTTACAGTGGGAATGTGCAAATAAATTGTTAATGCTAAAGAAAATGGTGAAGTGCTCTCCGTCATTAGCTATTCAGAAATAGCAACTGCTCATGGTCCAAACCTCAACTGGAATCTTCATTGTATTCAGATTGTTCAAAGGTGGCAACATACCATTCCTTTGTAAAGATGAGAAATACTGAAATTATGTATATGACGTTTTCACATAGGTGGCTGACTGTTTACAGAACTATATTTCACCTACAAAAGGAATTGGGGTGAATCTGAACACATTTATGCAACTGTCTATGATGGTTACTATATAAAAGTAACTTTGTATAGATTTTCCTTTAGCATGCTCCAATAATGTGCATTTGTATACTGTAGCTCAGTAAACAGGGCCTGATTCTGCAATCCTTAGACATAGTGAGGAGCACTTACCTGAGGGGTTCCTTTTCTTTACTCCCTTCTAGACATCTATGTCAGCTGATCCCTGCCAACTTTAAAAAAAAAAAAACACCAGAAAAAAACATTATTTTTCAGAGGGTTTCTGCATTTTAATTTCAGAATTTAGCCTGTAGCAATTACATAAAATGCGAACATGCTATCATGCCATAGTAGCAGAACTGAGCTTAACATTATATGACCTTGCACTGGGAGAGAAGGGGGAAGAGATTGTGCTGCATCAAACTGAACCGAAAGGCTGCCCGTTCTCATGTCACGCTCATTGGTGACTGCAGCAGAATCTTTGTGATACTGAGGAGCAGGAGTTGTGCCAATAAAATCAATGGGAGTCTTTCTGGGAAATAGGTAATGCTTTAGGTTTTACTATCTGGAAGTAGTGCTGACTAGCATTACTAATAGAGAACCAGATTGTGGCCCAATTTACACTCCCACACAGTGGGGTAAGAGAGTATAAAACATCCTATGCTGAATGGGTTAAGGTGGCTAGGTGAGCCAATAAATTGCCCAAGATGCAGGGATTAATTAGAAATGAGGCTCAGCTGGACAGGGACAGATGGGGCCTGTATAAAGTCCAGGAGCTGAGAGGAGGTGGGGACTGCTGGGGAAGTAGTTACCCCCTTGGAAAAAGGGAGGTGTGTTTGGTGCTATAGAGGCAAATAGCTTATAGTTACCCCCTGGGAGGAGGATGGGCTGGAAAGGCTCAGAGGAGAATCAACAAGCATGGGATAGTGCAGACTTTGGCTGCTGAAGAGAGAACCTCTGAGCAAGATCCTGGAGTAGAGGGTGGGCCAGAGTCCCCTTAACAGCCATTGGGGAAGTGGCACAGAACAGGCAATGGAGAGTGGACTGTCTGGGACCATTTGCCCAGAAAACTTTGATACCCTGGAAGGGGATGACTATAGTGGCCTGGCTGGACAGTCACATCATGAAGAGGCAGCTGAAGGTCCTGGAGCAGAGGGGCTGCAGGCTGAGAGGGGATGATGGGTGGAGAAACTGCCATAGGAGGGTGTAGCACCTGGAAGGAGCTAATCCCCAGATCCTCCAGGAGGAGGTGACCCTACTGGTGAGTGGACTCTGTGACACACCCCTTTACTTCCCTGTGCCAATTACCCATACCATGGATCTCCAGATATAGGGGACAGCAGGCTCCACTGGGTCATTATGTCTCCTCCTGTGATTGTAGGCAGAGCCTTGGCTCCTCCCCTATGCTGTGCCAGCCAGTGCAGCAACACCAGTGAGCCAGGGGGCATATAGTGTGCCAGGTAGGTGCTGGCACAGGACACTTCCCACTTGAAATAAGGGGATAGTAGGAGGTAAACTGATTCTCTTAATCACAATTTGGTTCCTGGCCTGCTCATGGGGTAATGCAACTGCCCACTGCTGCCTATGTAGGGTTTGTGGCAAAGCCACAGTTAAGCGCAGCATACTTACTACTGCTGTAACCACTGGCCTTTCTGAGCTGACCCTGCATACACCACAACATGACAAATGTTGCTTTCAGCATTATCAGTGCACAGCCATGTTCCAAACAGTGAAAACCTTTGCTGTGCTTTAGGTGTATAGAAGTAAAAGTCTAAGCGTATATATGGGTCCAAAAAAACCCCAAGAAGTGATCAAATGGAAGAAGCATACTATCCCATGATATTAGCAGTGAAATGGAAAGCAAGAGGCTGCCTCTCAAAACATATTCTTATCTAGAAAGACAGTATAGTCTATGCCATGGAGGAAATGCCAATGATAGTTACTGACACTGCTGCACCAGAAGCTACAACATGTATTTTATGACCCCCACATATATTAGCCCCATGCCACATATCCACCAGAAGGAAGCAACAGCTGTACCAAAAGTGCCACAAAGGAGATGACTTCCTAGGAATATAACTTTGTGCTGTAGGGTTCCTTTTCATGGTTTTACAGTCACTGAACTTGCTTTCACCTTCTTGTAATAGTTTAACTGTCTACTCTATCGGATTTAACGCTGTTTGGAAGCTATATTTCTATCCATTGTGTCCTATGTATTTTTAGAATCTGCTTGCGCAGCTTGGTACAACATTTCATGTGAGAATTTTTTTAGGAGGTCCTGTAATATATGAGAGAAACAAAAATTATTTTATGTTTCAGAGTAGCAGCCGTGTTAGTCTGTATCCGCAAAAAGAACAGGAGTACTTGTGGCACCTTAGAGACTAACAAATTTATTAGAGCATAAGCTTTCGTGGGCTACAGCCTACTTCATTGGATGCATAGAATGGAACATATAGTAGATATATACAAACAGATAAGTTGGAAGCTAGCATACAAAACTGTGGGAGGCTAATTAGTTAAGATGAGCTATTATCAGCAGGAGAACAAAACTTTTGTAGTGATAATCAGGATAGCCCATTTAGACAGTTGACAAGAAGGTGTGAGGATACTTAACTTAAGGAACTAGATTCAATATGTGTAATGACCCAGCCACTCCCAGTCTCTATTCAAACCCAGGTTAATGGTATCTAGTTTGCATGTTAATTCACGCTCAGCAGTTTCTCATTGGAGTCTGGTTTTGAAGCTTTTCTGTTGCAAAATTGGCACCCTTAAATCTTTTACTGAGTGGCCAGAGAGGTTGAAGTGTTCTCCTACCGGTTTTTGAATGTTATGATTCCTGATGTCAGATTTGTGTCCATTTATTCTTTTGCGTAGAGACTGTCTGGTTTGGCCAATGTACATGGCAGAGGGGCATTGCTGGCACATATCACATTGGTAGATGTGCAGGTGAATGAGCCCCTGATGGCGTGGCTAATATGATTAGGTCCTATGATGGTGTCACTTGAATAAATATGTGGACAGAGTTGGCATCGGGATTTGTTGCAAGGATAGATTCCTGGGTAGTGTTTTTGTTGTGTGGTGTGTGGTTGCTGGTGAGTATTTGCTTCAGGTTGGGGGGCTGTCTGTAAGCGAGGACTGGTCTGTCTCCCAAGACCTGTGAGAGTGAGGGATAATTCTTCAGGATGGGTTGTAAATCTTTGATGCGCTGGAGAGGTTTTAGCTGGGGGCTGAAGGTGACGGCTAGTGGCGTTCTGTTATTTTCTTTGTTGGGCCTGTCCTGTAGTAGGTGACTTCTGGGTACTCTTCTGGCTCTGTCAATCTGTTTTTTTCACTTGAGCAGGTGGGTACTGTAGTTTTAAGAATGCTTGATAGAGATCTTGTAGGTGTTTGTCTCTGTCTGAGGGATTGAGAAGGTTGTTTTTTTTGAGAGTATCCAGTTTTGAGAGCTCATTCTTAATCTTTCCCTCTTTGCTGTATAGGGTGTTGATCAGGTGGTTTCACAGTTTCTTTGAGAGTGTGTGGCACAATCTCTCAGCGTAGTCTGTGTGATATGTAGATTGTAATGGATTTTTTTACCTTTCATCCTTTTGGTATGATGTCCATCTGTTTGCATTTGGAAAGAAAGATGATGTCTGTCTGTATCTGTACGAGTTTTTTCATGTAGTTCATGAATTTCCATTCTATACGGCTAAATTCAGTGCCTTGCATAATGACAGGTTTCAGAGTAGCAGCCGTGTTAGTCTATATCCGCAAAAAGAACAGGAGTACTTGTGGCACCTTAGAGACTAACAAAATTATTAGAGCATAAGCTTTTGTGGGCTACAGCCCACTTCATTGGATGCATATTTTATATTACTGGGAAGGTATCATTCTTATAACTATGGAATTACCTTTTTTGTTTTTTATTATAGAGGTAGAGCTGGAGGGGGAGGGAAAGGATGGCATTTGCTAGAGAACATACTGCTCTCTTAGACCTACTTACTCTAAAAGCTTAGCAAAGAGAATGAGGTTTATCTATTTGGAATTCTGACTCATTGGCTAGAAATGTGTTCTTTAGGCATGCCAAACTAAGAGAGACATAAGAGAGCTCAGTATTTTGAATGAACCTGTAGTATGCATGATGTGTGCAAGATATTGAAGTGTATGAAAGATGATCGTTGATATAAGTGTTGTTTGAGAGGAGGATGAGCATGTCTTAAAGTATATTTGTGCGTGTGTGTGTTTCCTGCCAAAATAAGGAGGCGATGGATATGAAAAGTAACAATTTAATATATTAGTGTGATATTATTCTTTTTCAGATACTCCAGATTGAAAGACTCTCATACATTTCTTTTCATCTATTAAAAGAAGATGGGGTGGAAGAAGGGGGGAAAGGATGTATTAAAACAAACTGGAAATAGAAAGTGCTTGTTCATGAACACAATTCATTTGTCGTTAAGAGCTGGGCCAAAGATGTCATGTGACAATGAAAAATGACTTTCATCTCACACTGAACAAGTAACTTTATTAGAATAAGGAAAACAGCAGTAATCCCTAAAGATACTCTCTTGCTTTGCTTCACTGTAGCACTTCTACCTATAACCTTCCCTACTGGTGTTCTCCAGGGCTTCCTGCTACAGATTTAAAGAAACAATACCCATATTCTTACAATAAGGAACAAGTTGATACAATGGGTTATTTAGCATATACATTTTTCATCTATTCATATTGCACCTGGATTCCAATCTTAGTCTAGGTTACATCAGAGGAAATATAGTCTCAGCTCCCAACCTACTTCCTATTATTGCACATATCACAAAACCACTACACAGCTTGGTATCTCTGGCAATTTCCACTCCAACAGGAGATCAGAATTGCAATAGTAGGAAGTGTTGCAAGACTTCCTACTACATTTCCAAAACTGTATGTAAAGTAGCTTAAGCCCTGTTTTACTACACAAAGCAAATCAAAGTCTCTCGTTACATAAGCACTAAATTCTCATAAATATTAAGACAAAGAATTGTGGCAATCCTCATTCTCTCCTACTCTTTTGGTTCTTTAAGCTATAATATAAGATAAATGCTTTCTTTTTAATGATAACCATTATAGAATATATTATCGATACAGTTAGACTGAGGAGGAGGTAGGATTAGGAAGTAGATTTTTTTTTTAACTTTCTGGTCTGAGGTCAGGGCTAATTTTTTTGTATTCAAATCCAGCAGCAATTATAGACAGTCCAAGTGGATCAAGTTGT